GCCAATTCGTGCGCTAAGTCCTGAAAAATGCGCTTCAAAAGTCCACCCATGACGCCCATTCAGTGGAAGTGGGAGGGGTTGGTGGAGTTTTGAAGCCCATCTTCCAGGACTTAGCGCATGAGTTGGCAGGTGGGGCTTGGGCTACGGTGTACAGGGGTCTACTACCTGAAATTACGCCTGTCAGCTCCCTTCAAGTGGCACACTTAGCGAAAAGCTTTACAAAAAACACCTATGTGAATTCACTGCTGTGGTTCATCCTTGTCTTGTTCAATTTCTGGTGTTTTTGTACAGCTTTTTTAATTTTATGCGACTTACGGATTTACAAATTTGGACTTTAAAAAGCTCATAACTTCTTTTCGTTGTTTCGCAAAAACTAAAACATTTTCGGAATGAGCGTCTAAAGACACATCTGGTAATATACATTTCGTCTTTAATCGCCAAGGTAAGTAGGTATCCTTCCTTTTCTCAGCACAAGGGTATTATATCCGACATCATCTAAACCCCCACTTTACCCTGGTAAAGAGTGCACGGTCTTACAACAGAAAGATATCAGTTTTCTTGCTTGTTTCAAGGAATGCGTGTTTATGAAGTGTTACTGTACTTTGTTGTGGTCCCTACATCTGCATGTCGAACTAACGTAAATAGATTTAGTTCGCATTTATGAGGTTTTCATGTTAATCTAGAGCTTTTAGAAGCGCTCGCTCGGGAAGTGAAAGCTCTCAGAAAAGAGAATGAGGAAATCAGAAAGGAATTGGCCGAGCTGCGTGAAACCATCGAAAGATTCGCGCGCATGAATGCCATCCCAGCTAAGGTATTTATCTTCTGTTTTTCAATTTTACCGATTTTTCTTACCGTAATCGACATAGGCAAGCGAGAAGACCGAAAAAACACCACCAGCCAATGAGACAAAAGAGCCTGCTGCTGCTGATGAAGACTTTGATCTCTTCGGCTCTGACGACGAAGAAGAGGACGCAGAAAAGGCTAAAGTAGTGCAGGAACGTCTTAAAGCTTATGCTGAGAAGAAGTC